TATCCATGAACCGAGTCTGTGCCTGTCCTCTGCGCTAACCTACAGAGCCATCTGCTTACAGCTGGCTTTTCCCACCGCCCTTTGCCATCATCTTAGATTCCTATTGGCTAACCGCACCACCCTGACCCTCCTCTCCCGGTTTTTTTTTTTTTTTTAAGAAAAAAAAAATTTCAAGTTTTGAGTGCCTGCAAGTCAGTTGTGCCTCATAGCGCCCCTGTATAGGGCTTCCAGGGAGTGTGGTTGGCGGGCTTGCCGTTTGAACCAGAGGCTTACAGTCTGCTGCAGTTTCCAGACATGAAAGTCTGATGCTTGGGCGTTTCACTAATTGCTGCCCTGCCTTCACCCTGTTGAAGTCTTCTTTCTTTTCCCTTTGCTTCCACCCTCCCTCAAAGCTTGGCAACGAGGAGCAGCGGGAAAAGCTGCTCAGGCAGTGGCTGGACTGCTGTGTGACCGAGGGAGGGGCTCTCGTCGCCTTGCAGAAAAGCTCCCGCAGGCGCAATCACCCCCTAGTCACCCAGATGGTAGAAAAATGGCTTGACCGCTACCGACAAATCCGGCCCTGCACGTCCCTGTCAGATGGAGAGGAAGACGAGGATGATGAAGACGAATGACACAGAGGCACCGGACCGGACCCATCACCCCCACAGTTAGTGAGGTGCTCCCAACAGGATGTCAGGGAATGGCATGAAGCCCACCCGGCAGGCTCTGCTCCAAGTGCCACCGTGAACTTCAGGCCGGAGGGGGGAGGGTGGGTGCATCTGCTGCATGGGGAGATGGAGAACTGTGTTAGGTTGAGTACAGTTTGGAAAAATGAGTTGGATGAAGACAGAACTCTCCCTTCCTCAGATTGTACATCTGTCTATAATGTAACGCATGTGGCTGTGTAAGAAGTTGTGTAATAGGAAAAATTGTACCAGCATCTTCATAGTGAGACACCCCCCACCCCACCTCCACCCCCAGCATGGGCACATGGGAGGGGACTTTGTTCCTTGGAGACAAAGTCTGCAGTAGAACCTGGCATTCTACTTCAACTTCCAGTCCACATACGAAGGCTCATTAGAGATGACATTTTTTTTCATATAAATTATTCAGTTAAGACATAAAAATAAACCAGCTATTTTAATTTAGTCCCTGTTGTGCCCAATAAAATCAAATCTTTAAGGAACAAACCACAAGTAAAAGCTAAGCGTTTTTTTGTTTTTGAGTGACCTCATAGTTTTAATTTTTTAATTACTAGATCTTTTTAATTCTGCTGTTCCCCTTTCAGTATTGAGATATTCGTTGGTTAGACCTAAATGAGGGCATTTATTCTAGACTCTTGGCAGCAGCCTGTTCACGAATATGCCTTCCCTGAACGCTTGTAGCACAATGGAGTGTATTCAATTAGACCGGATTGATTGACAATGAGGGTTTTTTGATTCTTCCTGTCACTTCCATTTCTGCTCTAAACAAATCCTGTTAGAAGGGCATGCCTTACATAGACTAATGGGATACCAGCTCAGTACAGAATACAGTTTTTAAAAATGCAATAAGGTGGTTTTAATGCATCATAGAATGAATTTCTCAGTGGGTATTCTTGAGAGCTTTCACATAATCTGAGAACTTTTTGTAAAAAGTATTATTTGACCACTTCAGGTTTAATACTGGGCAAATGTCAAACCTCTCTCAGGGACACATACAGTGCTGTGTCCTGAAAAGTATGTGGCAAGGAATTTGTAAAGATGCCATATATATAAAATATGTAATATGTAATTTTTTCTTTCTTTTGATGAAAAGGCTGTGAAAACCTCTATAAATATTTGCTTGTTTTCTTCTGAATTCTGCTTCGATGGTAGTGAAATGCGTACTTCATTTGATGCTGGAATACTAAACACAAAAAACCGCCCCCCTGCTCTCAACACTCAGTGAAAGGTTCTTCTAGCAGAAAAGGACCACATTGCTGCCTGCTAAAGCCTGAAACGAAAATCATTCCCCATAAACGAAGTTGGTAGAACGGTAAACATCATTGTTCCCAGTGCTTCTGTACAAATCGTCTGTGGTCTGTTCTCGGTAATTTAAGCAGCAGGTTAAGTTTTGGTAAGACCCCTGTCCTGCTTACTGCGGCACCTGAGTGAGTCTCCTCCAGTGTAAGTCTCCTTTCATGGTCTGCAGGGCAGCTGACAACGGCTGCTGGGGTGACCACGTGGGAGAGACTCCTGCCAACCAGATTTGCTGCTGCAAAATTTGGCCTTGTAATGGCCAGTCAACACTACATTAAGCTCTTGAATTACTCAACAGCCATACTTTTATCCTGAGATGATCTCAGGCCATAGGTCTGAATGTCTAATGGCCTGGGATGGAGTAATCCCTAGTTCCTTTTTGGTGGTTGATTGATTGGAAGTGAGTGAACCTCAGCCAAATGCTCTAAGCTGTTTCGTGTGTTTTTTTCTTTTAATGGAAAGAGCTGAAAGAGGAAGGGTGTTGGTACCTGAAATGACTGCATGTGATTGATGTTGGTAACCAAAGTCCCTACAAGTCTATGGAAATAGCTGACGTGGTTTTTGAACACAACGTTGTAAATACTGGTTACCACTCCCTTTCCTCCAAGTTGGACATTCATCTCCCCTCATCCTTATTGGAGCAGGGAATTTTGCTTTTGGGTAAATTAAAATCAAAACGTGACTAATTTTGCTTCTTGAATTGATTGAGTTGTAACCCATATTTCATGATAAGGAATGATTGGGAAATGTGTCATAAACAGATAGAAAAGAAGTTATTGTTAGTCTGGGTTCCTGGCGTGGTGCTGTGGGTCATACGCTGGTCTGCACAGTTGGTTTGAACCAACTTTGACTACTGGCATTTAACAAGGCTGGATAATTCACCAGCTGCTCCTCAGAAACCCAATACACAGGGTCACTTAAGTTGGAACCAACTCAATGGTACTTACTTGTTAACAGGAGAGGAGGTTTACATTGGAATTTCAGAACTTAACGAAAAGTTTTATTACTTTTTTATTGAAAACTGCACTGAACACTAAATGTCCACCTTTACAATAAACAAACACGGTAACAGTGGCTCACACTAAAACAAAACATACTTCCGATAGCCAGAATCTCTCTGTTGGGACAGCTTGAAAGGTTTTTTTTTTTGTTGTTTTTTTTGTTTGTTTGTTTTTGTCACAAAAACAGGAATGTACCTATACAAAGGCTCAAAATAGGCCATCTTTTAAAACAAAAAGGCGATGATTCACAAAAGACTATGAATATAACATGTAGCTAGTGGATACAAATCTAATAGGATTTGTTAAAATCAGTCACATCTAATAACACATCTGAAGTGTTCTTGTATAAAATATCACGTGAAGAAAAGAAGACTTTTATCAATGTCTAAAAAAGTGGGTTTGTTCATAGACAATCTGACAAGTTACCATAAAAAGGGTTTCCTGAGACATAAGGAAATGCAACATTATTCCTGAACCCTTTCAGTTCAAGACTTTCCACTCAATAAAATAGCTGAGGATCTGAAACTGAGAAAATATATTTGAGTACAAACAACTTGTGAAACTCAATACTCTTTTTTTTCTTTCTTTTTTTGCATCATTAGAGGGTATTACTGAACCTACAGTCAACTTGCCTGCTCAGTCCACAGTCCGGGGGTGCTGACTTCAGTCCAAGTTCACCCCTGTTAGCAGAAGAGGCCAGCAGCCCCCAGGGACCAAAGGGACTAGAGTCATAGGGGTGGTGGGAGGGGACCTCCTCTTTTCATTTCGCATTTTGATGGTGGGAACTCTAGATGAATATTCTAGAGCGAGGTGCTCTGAACCTGCTGTGCCCAAGGGACTGAGAAAGGAAAAAGAGCTATTTATTCTTGGTGATTGGATGCAGATGAGAAACTGAACACACACTAACAGAAGTTGGTCGTTAACAAATCACACCCAAGTCTTTCCACGCACGCACAGCAAATGGTATCTCCGGCTTCTCGGCTTCCAGCTCCGGTGTAGGTTAGCATGCCTCAGGTCCAGAATCGGTGAGGATGATGGTCCAATCCCTTTCCGCGAAGATCTCTATTGCTCACTGTCTCTTGGTCCTAGGTTTACACGAACGACTCCCCTTAGCATTCTCTGCTATTGCTCCTTGGGGTGCTCACGATTGTTCCCATGTTTTGTGGGCTGGTTGGGAGAAGGGGCTTGGGAAGGGTGTGCCACTGTGGGGAGGTTATGAGTCACCGGGATGCCTCCGGGGATGATGGCTTCCATAGCAGCAGGAAGTCCTCCTGGAGCCACGCCCACAATACCTGTTGGATACCTGCCAAGCACAGGAAATGGAGGTCAAAGCCTGGGCCCTTCAGACTGCCAGGTGCCGAAACAGGTCAAATCTAGATGAAACCTTAGTACTTCCTGGTGAGGACACCACAAGGCTGGTGGTTCCTATGGGTCAGAACCAATTCACGGACACTTGGGTGGTGATGGTAGTGTGCCGTGCAGTTGGTTCAGACTCAGTGTCCCTGCATAGTTTCTGTGGGAGCAGAAAGCCTCATCTTACTCCCGTGGAACGGCTGGTAGTTTTGAACTGCTGACTTTCAGGTAACCACTCTGCTACCAGAGCTCCTTCAGGGACACTTAACTTTAAAAATGAGTCCTGTTGTGGTGTTAAACAGTGGTGTGCTAACCACAAGGTCAGCAGTTCAAACCCACAAGCCACTCCTCAGAGACCAGGGACCTAGGTACAGTAAACCCAACAATAGAAACTGCCCAGACCAATGGTGAGCACTTCTGGAAGGAAGCTGGCTCACACCCATCACCCCACCACCCCCAACTGCACCTCATCGGACACCCGGGGTGCTGGCTGTAAGAGAACATGGAATGTTAGGCACCTCTAGAACATAATCTGTATTTAAACATTTCTTAGGACCATGATTCCTGGCCAGTACTATATAATGATACTATTTTCCCACCAAACCCTTACAATGGAGATGCAGAGCCCCCTGTCACCATGTTAGATTGGGTAGAAATTCCAGAGCATATGCTTAGGGGCTTCAAAAGTTTGTGGGAAATGTGCAAGGCTTTCTTTCCCTCGCTCCACAAACTTTGAATCTTTCAAGTAGCCTTAGAGGGTATGTGACTGAAGCCACAAAGATTCCTCATTGGGCTTTTATGTTGGCAACGTGGCAAAAACGCTCACAGCAGCCCTGGCAGAGATGACAGCCTCAGCTGCCATGGGGAAGGGGGCTAGTTTCTTGGCAGCTGGGATCAATAACGATATACACCTAACTTCCCTATCCTTGTCCAATCTTAAATATCCCACATACGTTATCATTATTGTTGATCATGGCATGCTTGGACGGAAACTGCGATTAGAAAACACAATCACAGGATCTTTCCTTGAAACTTTCATCTGTGCCCTTAAAGCCTAGACACCCTCTGGTATTGATGTGGCTTTGAAATGAAAGGCAGTGTGCTCTGCTCTGCTGACCCCCAGGTTTCCCAGGAGCTAATCTAAGAACCCAGGGAGAGAAAGTCCTCCAAAGTTGCCTCCAGGGGGCAGCACCAAGCAGACAGAGCACGTCCCTGCTCACCTGTAGGTGGCGCCGTTGAGCTCTGGATGAATTCCTTGCTGTTCTATTACCGACCAGGGAGCTGTTGTAACAAAGAATTCCTTGTTCACACAATTTCTTAGGCTTTCTGGGATGCGACCTGCCACAAGATCATTGAAGTCAGTCATTTTTGAAGGGTCAGAATGACTTAGTCACACCTACGTCTGTTTGTATGGATACAGAGAACGGACATTAAAGACTTGAGCTTCTCAGCTCTGGCTTACCGCCCCACCACCCAAGCCCAAAAGGACTTGGTTTCCTCTCACATGAACCCAGCTCAGTTGCACACGTAACAGTAGACTGGACACCTTCACCTTCACCTTCGCGGATCCTGCCTGTAGGGCTGGCTCACCTGTAATGGCCCTGCGGATCTCGGTGGCAGCGGCCTCCCGCATCTCTAGTGAGGCTTGCTCACTATACCAGGCCGTGTGGGGCGTGCAGATGAGATTCGGGGCGTCTTTCAGTGGGCCTTGAGCGAAGCTGGGTGATGCAGATGAGAACCTGTGAGATGCAGCTCTGGGAACATGCGTCCCCCCCACCCCCGGCCCCTTGGGAACATGAACTGCTGACCCTAGGGGGTGAGAGTCATAGACCAAACTATGGATCAGCACAAGTCCATGGGAGGGAGGCCTGCCCACCCATGCTGCCGGGTCCCCTCTACATGGAGTGAGACTCCAGTCAGCCCAGCACTCACAATAGTGAAGGTACAGAGTCCACCCTGCTGGCTCCCAGGTTACCACACCCACCTGAAAGGCTCCGATTCATGCACGTCTAGTGCTGCCCCTCGTATCCGCCCTTCCTTGAGGGCTTGGGCTAAGGCTTTCTCGTCTACCAACCCACCGCGGGCTGCATTCACCAGGAATGCTCCTTGCCTCATCTAAAGGGACAAGAAAAAATGAAGCCTGTTACACAGACAACTAACTACCTCACCAGCAGACTTCACACCAAGGCTCAGACAACAGATGGGTGCAACTCGCTTGTGTGTGTCAGCAGCTGCAGGACTGGGGATGTCTGTCCAGCCTGGGGTCTGTGGAGGCCAGGCCTGGCTGACATGAGGAGGCGGCTGCTCTGCATGGCTCACCCCGTTTGCCTCCGAGGATGTACTCCTTCCTGGCTCTGGTGCACGTCCCCGCCTATGCCCAGAGCAGTACCGTCAGTTTCCCCCAGAGGCTTGCGCGGTCTGAGCGTTGTCATTACCTGCTTGATAGTAAAGTCATTGATGAGGTGGTGGTTATGTTCATTGAGACTGCAGTGGAGGGACACACAGTCACTCTGGTATAGCAGGTCCTGTAGCGTGTAGATCCTCTGGACGCCCAGGGACCGCTCGATCCCATCCTGCAAGTAGGGGTCATAAAAGATGACGCTGAATCCGAAGGCCTTGGCTCGAACAGCAACCGCCTGCCCCGTGCGACCTGTGCGGAGACAGAGTGTCTGGGTGAGAGTCTACGCCCCTTCCTGTCTGCTTGGCGCCCCACCACCAGCTTTATCACGTCCATTACTGCTGTGGCCAAGAGTTAGTGACAGTGGAGACCGACACCGCCAGGGGTCCCAAGGGTCTTGACTCAGGGACAAGAGTGCCAGTGTGACATCACAGGGCTATTGTGATTTTCTTTTAAACGTCATTATGAACATTTTGGAATATGCACAGAACCAGGAAGAAGGGCTCATGAATCCATGTCTCTTAAGTATGGATGACCTTTCTGCCTCACTATAGTTGACTACTCCTGATGTCACCGGTAGAAGGATCAGAACTACTAGCTGTCTCGGTGGACCAGAGCACAGGGCACGTGGACATCAATCCTTATGACAAGAAAGGGCGGGATCAATGTCCTGTAAGGCCCGGTCCACCGCAGGTCTCTGTCTGCGTGCATACCGATCGTCACCTGGAACTAGTCAGCTCCTCCCACAGACCCCAGCTTGTGGTGCCAGGAGATCAAGCTTCATACGGTGACTACCCATGCTGCCCTGGGGCCTCTGCCTTTTTCCGCAGATATCCATGTGAGAACATGGCTTCCTAAGTCCAGCCAAGCCCAGGCTGACAGATACGGATGGTGCCGCCGCTGTGACCGGGTGTTCTTCCTTGAAGGTTCACAATCCCTAACGGTTTCACTGGAATCATCGGGTTTGCTAACCAACGAGTGTATATAATACCTATTACTTCAGTCTGTCTGCAATGTAATGAAAAGCCAGTCCTGACCTGTTAAATATACTTCAGCTGGCTTCCTCTGGTCCAGCATGGCTAGCACTGGCTGAGGCAAAGCTTGGGATGCCCCTGCCCAGGTCATTGTGCTTTCAGGACATGAGCTGATTTTAGTCCCTGGTAGAGATGTCGGCAGCAATCAGGGCCCCCTCCCATGTCAGCTCCAGAAAAGGCCAAGGCAGCAGCCCAGCAGGACAGGCCTGAATACATGTAAGGGCCAAAGACGGACTCCAGAGAGACCATCTGTGACAGCCAGAGGCAGAGGTCACCCTACTGGGGGCAAGCAGGAGGATTTAAGGTTCATAATCCACCAGGAACCTCATTCTAGCCCACAGGAAGGCTCAGCAATGGCCAGCAGAGGGCGCTGCAAACATAGTCACCACAGGTCCAGTCATTGTACAACCTGCATCTACCTTTTGTGTGTGTGTGTTAATTTGCTGGTTATCTTTCTCATGTGACCCCAAAAGTCAATGACAATGAGATGAAGTAATAATGAAAACCATCAGAAAGGAACACCGTCCTAAGTAAAGGGCGACGTGTAGTTCAACAAGATGACTTTCTCCGGAATGCCTCCTGAACACACCCAACCCTTTCCAGCTCCCTCACGCTGGTGCCCGGCTCTCCTGAGTAGCTGGAATGCCCCAGACCTAACTCTCAGGTGTCTGTCTGTATGGCTTCCTGTTGCAAGCACGCACAGAGGACTCGACAGTGCACACATCCAGAGGGCGCCGGTCCCGGCCGCCTCCATTCTGCTCTGTGGTACAAGTAGGGCTGAGGCTCAGCTTGGGGACTAGATTCTGGAAGGCAGGCCCAGCGCTCACTAAACTGGTAGCATCCAACCCAAGCCCCCTGCCACCCTCTGCTGGGGCAAATTAGCCAACAAGGTAGCAAATGATGGGCAGCACCTACTGCTACAGGAGTCCAGCATTCTCAGGAACAAGGTGATGGGGCGAGGGCAGAGGGACGACACACTTACCAAAGCCAATGAGGCCCAGCGTCTCCCCGCGGATGCGGGCGGCCCCTGAGGCAACCTCTCGGATCTGCTCAACGCTCTGGACCCGCGTGCCCTCCCGAAGCGCCTGGTACAGCCACGTGTTCCTCCGGTACAGGTTAAGGATGTGGCAGATGGTAGAGTCAGCAGTTTCCTCCACGGCAGCAGAAGGGATGTTGCACACGGCGATCCCTGGAAGGCAGAGTTTAAGGTTAGGGTCCACTGCGACTGGAGTGAGTGTGGGACTCCGGGCACAGCCGTGTTCCCTGAGGTCTGCTTATTTACCGGGGCTCTTCACCTCTTGACTGGGGGTGGGGTGGGGGGGACAACACCTGGCCACTATGTCCCACGCCCAGGGTCCAATGAAAACCCTACAGCTCTTGGCGGGCCAACCCTGTAAACAGGGACACCAGCCCAGAGGCAGCTGACAACAGGGGTGGGGGGCAGAACACCCCCGCAGGGCTGATCCACACAACTGACTGCGGACGATGGAGCTATGGTCTCAAATCCAGGCTGAGGAGACCAGATGCCACCACCGTGGTGCCTCTGAGAGGTTCTGTCTGTTCTGGCAAAAAGCTGTGGGAAGGTCCGGCTGGGAACCATTTACATTTAGATGGCCCCTGGGCACGATCTGTGTGTACAGCCCAGGAGAGCAGTGCCAAGGACAGACACTGGACACAGGTCCACGTGTGACCAGGGAATCACACAAACCTATCCAGGGAGGGAGACTGAGGCGGGATACTGTCCAGCCTGTACCCGGTACCTGCCAGAGAGCTCGTGTCCAGTAACGGGTGTGTGTGTGTGTGTGTGTGTGTGTCTGACTGGAACCATGACAGAGACATCCTGAAGGCTGTCCTGCCTCAATAGCGAAAGACACCAGCACCTTCTCTGATCCTCCAGGTAGAATTCACAACACTTTATGTAGTCACATGGGTGTGGGTCAGCACAATCCTTCAAATCCTCCACCGTCTTCTGAACTGGTGGCCCGATGACCTGTTCCTAACCGCAGTGTGGCTGAGCCTTGTGGACACTCTGAGCCGCCTGGGGTACCTTACCCAGCTGTTTTCTGTCCTGGTCAGTGCACGAAGGCACCAGCAGGTTGATGGTTCGAGCCCAAAGGCACCTTAGGGGAAAGGCCACCTACTTTCGAAAACCAGCCACTGAAAACCCTAGGGGAGCTCAGCTCAACCCTGACAGGAACGGGTGGGTCCATGCTGGCCATGTCCTGACTTCCTGTGTGTGTTCAGGCCAAGTGGGGCACGGTCACTCTGCATGCTTCAGGTTCGTACCCTAGCTGCAACAGGTAGGTCCCAGGTGGTTTGCGGAGTACGGGACACCTACTGCCAGCGAGCTCAATCTTAGGACTCAGTGAGCCCCACTTTCTAAGGCTTGATGGGAAACCCTGTCAGTTTTCATCATAGATAGCCATGACCTTCGGGGTCATGTGTTGTCTTCAGCCCCAGGTAAGTCCACGGAAGGGCTGCCACCACCAAGCAGGTGTGGTGTACATTTGGAGACAAAACACCACCTGGACTGAAGTTGCTCTTACATGGTAAGACCCATCTTGAAAAAGGGCCCATGTCCCGGCAGCTCAGTATCAGAGGTGACAGGTGACCAATGGAAACTCCACCACTGACAGCCATTCACACACCTCACAATAGGGAGCCCAAGGACACGAACCCCCAGTCCACTCTCCTGGAAGGGAACCGACTTCTCCAAGCCTGTCCCAGCCCCTCACTGTCTGCATTGAGGCTGCTCATGAGAACCACCTCTGGCTCCAGAGGACCAGCCCAGCGCTGTGTCAGGAGGAAGGGGCCGGGGTGTCATGGTGCAAGGTAAAGGGTAAACCCCCGGGGCCAGGTGAGGTGGTGTGTGGAGGAGGGAAGACCCTTTGCTCATGAAACCACATCTGCTCTGCTCAAGGGAACACATGTCCTCAAACATGAGCAATCTTGTACAAGAAAAACACTGTGTTTATGGGCACACACTTCGTGAGCAGCATTCTTTCTCTGTTGCCACAAAGAGGCTTCGCATTGGCACCGAGGCTGGATGCAAACTTGGTGGTAACAAGGAAGCGTAGGTTCCAGGACGTGGGGAGGACTCAGAGCCACTCCTTCCCCTGACCCCATAGAGCCCCTGAAACTCACAGTGATGGCCCAAGGTGGTGGAGCTCAGCAAATGGGGGGTGTTTCCATCTTCAAGTCAACTTTCTAGGACGTGGTGGGTGAAGTAGTAAAAGACCCGTAAACATGCAAGGTATGAAGCCCCCACCCTTCCCTTAGCGCCTGGCCTGTGTGAGGAAAGGCAGACTTGGGTGTCCTGGGCTCCCTGGTGTCCCTGCCAAAGCCCTTCCTCAAGGTGAAGGTCTGGAGGGATATGTCTACCTTTGTCACTTGGGTGCCATGATTGACAAGGTGCTTAAAAGATGCCCTTCTGAAAGTGTCCACTGCCCAGCCAGAACAGTCCCTTCTGTCCACGTTCTGACTTCCTCCCCAAGACCACCTGAGCAGCCAGCCGCCGCTCCGGCCCTCACCCAGCTCGCCAGCAGCCTTGATGTCCACGTTGTCGTAGCCGCTGCCTATCCGTACAATCACTCTCAAGGCCTTGAACTTCTCCAGGTCTTCCCTGGTGAGGGTGATGGTATGATACATCATGGCGCCCACAGCTTCGTTTAGCACCTGTGACAGAGAGGAAGACCCCAGGATCAGAACGGTGAGTCAGCTTGGGGACCCCAGATTCCAATCCCCAATTATGACACGTTGTGCTTTGGGCCAGAGAGATAGGAATGCTGTCCACTCGGCTCTACAGGACAGGGGCGCCCACCTTCTCATGAATCTCTTGAGTGGCCTGGGCATCACAGAAGGCCACCGTGGCCAGGTCCTTCAGGATGGGCATCTCCACAGTGCAGTCCCGGCCGTCGAGGAGCGCCACCAGCGGGCGCGGGTGCAGGGGACCGTTCATGATCTGGGGACGGATACCTGTGGAAGGGAGGACATCCAGGGTGGGGCTCACATGGGAACAGGGGTGCAGGGTGGGTGTTGGGGAACGACACGGGAAGCTTTCTCCCAACTCTCATCTCAGCCAGCCTCCCCTCCAGGCCCCGGAGTTGAGCTGGACACTAGTGGTAGGGTTGGGAAGTGGCCTGGCAGACCTCGTAAATCACTAATAAGTAATATGGAGTTCACTGGACTTTAGGGTTGCTGCTGTCAACTTCAGTGGCCACCCACCATTCAATGAGGACGAGTTTCCTAAGGCTGTGTCTGACCCTCTGTGAACTGGAGATGGAGAGGACTCCATCTGTCAACACCTAGGACAGATAGGGACCAGATACCATCAGCATCTGCATGCGTGGGTAAAGAAGAATAGGGAGCTCCCAGAGAAATGTCCGAGGAGGGGTGGAGCAGAACTCCCGAGACAGGCCGAGACGAGCAAGCAATCTGCACCCAGTGACTAGGAGACCAAACAGAGCGTTTCAGGTCACAGCGCCTGATGAGCTGGGGCTGCCTGCTGATGTTGTGAAGTGCCACTGAGTCGGTTCCGACCCATAGCAACCCTGCAGAGAGCTTCCAAGGAGCAGCTGGTGAGCTTGATTTGAACCACCGACATTGCAGTTCAAATGACTTTGCAATGCCACACCAAACAGAAGCGTTCAGGTCACACTGCCTGATGAGCTGGGGCAGCTAGAGACCCACAAATGTCCCCAGTGGTGTGGGCGGGGGCCCAGCTGGCCTTCCGTCCATGCTGCACAGAACCCAAAACAGACCTGCCCAGCCTCCACCCAGAACTCAACAGGATGGCAGGCAAAATCTTCAGTCCCGTGGGAACATTCCCAGAGACAACCATCAACCTCAGTGGCAGAGGCTAACACCTCAGAAACCATTCTCTCAAGTCCCTACGCCAGAAGGGTATCTCCCCGAATATGTATCTCGATGGACCACAACCACATCCTGGTTGGGTGACAGCCACACGTGGTCTTGAGGAGGGACCCCATCCCTGCGATCAACAGGCAGAAAATAAAACAGCAAGCCAGCATTTCACGCTTTCAGACGCACACTAGAGCTCTGAGGTGCCACAAATGTGAGCATTGGTGGGTGACACACTGGAGTGGCCCAAGCCAGTACAGCTGAGTTCCATGCTGGGCCTGCCCACAGTCCCCTCCTGTCCTGGTTCTGTCAGCCATGCATCCAGGTGGTCTGTACCACACAGCTCACACACTTCCCAGAATCCTCACACGGCTCCTGGAGCTTGTTTATCATTTCAGTGAGGGGCTGAAAAAGAAAACTTCGGGTCTGCAGTCCCACATGGAACTAGGGACCTTGGGACACTGGAGAGAGCGAACTGTGGAGCCCACATAACCCCTGCTCTGCTGCCCTGAGAGGGTGTGACCCCAGCCACAGCTGCAGAGGGCCAGGACAATGGTCTCTTTGAAGCGGAGTAAAGACAGGTCTTTGTTCTGACCTCAGAAGGACGGTCTGCGGAGTCTACTTCAAAAGCTCTTGCTCCCCGCTGGGCCAGGCCAGGCCTCTACAGCCAACCCCATTTGCAGTTAGCCAACATCGTGGATCCAACACCCCTGCCCTGGGGGGATCCAAGACCTAGGACCCCAGAGCAGGGTGTCTAGGTGAACCTCAACCCTAGCATGCCCAGGGGCCCAGGGCGGCCAGTGGTACCTGCTAACTTTGGTCTAACAGTTGCCTGCTGGTTAGCTAAGGCACGGTTGGCTAGCAGAGCTCATAGGCCTGACCCTTGACAGGGGTCAGAGGTTTGTGCTTATTTGGCCTCGATGCTCCCCCTCCATTCTTAGGGGCATAGATGTGGAGGTGTGTCTGAGACTCAAAGTGCCCAAGAGCATGGACCTTTAAGATGAAACTAGGCTCAGGATTCAAGGCCCTGATGATGTACTATAATGTACAAATACTACAGCTTCTACCTGCGCCCTGCCCTCCCGGCTGCTGAGAAATAACTGTGGAATGGTCACCCCAAAGGGTTCTTCCTCTACACAGCCTCCTCCCTCCCTCCAACCCAGGGCTGACTTCCGGCGGGGGTGGGTTGTAGGGTTAAGCAGAGTACAGGATACAATTCAGAAATCCAAGTTGTTAATTAAAAAGCAACCCAACAGGAATGCAGCCCGGGGCACATGGGGGACTCCGGAGGCATCCCAGGCATCTGGGAGGAAGTGGGGGAGAAAAACCACAATATGTCTGTCCGCAGCATTGGTGCCTGGTCCCTGTTACCTGGGCAACAAACTCCAGGTTGCCTAGCGATTGCCTCCCTCACTGTTCTCTTTGGTGGAGCCCGCCCTAGCCTCCTCCAGGCTGGGCATGCAGAACACAGCCAACAGAGCTGGGAGGTCCCAGGCGTAGGTCTCCAGCCATGAACTCAGTGTAACAAGGTGGGAAGTGGGGGTGGGGGGTGTGGTGGGGGCAACCAGGGCTGAGCTCCGAGGGTGGGCCACTGAGCAGACTAGAGGTGCTGGTGGTAGGGGGAGCAGGGGAGCCAAAATTGAGTCCAACAGGAGACAGAGGACTCTGGGGAACCCGAAGGAGAATAAGAGGCTTACTGGGCTTTGCCAGGATCAAGGAGCTCTGGTAGCGTAGTGGTTACGAATCGGGATGCGAACCGCAAAGTCAGCAGTTCAAAACTACCAGCTGTTCCACGGGAGAAAGATGAGGCTTTCTGCTCCTGTAAAGATTTACAGCCTCGGAAACCCTGTTCAGGATCGCTATGAGTCGGAACCAACTTGACGGCACTTAACAACAACAACATGCCTCTAAAGAGAGGTGTCACCTGCATCCAGGTCTCAATAGGAACAGGTTCATGTCAGCAGGCCAGACAGCTGCTGTCTCCCAGCTAACAGATCATTTCTCAGGCCAATGTCTACTGGTGGTGTTCTGGGCCACTGAGGTGGTACCGACTCATAGAGACGCTATGCACACAGAGCTTTGACCTGTAGTGATCATTTTACACCACAGAACTAAACAGTGTGCGGCTCTGCAACACCCCAACAATCACTGTTAAGTCTGGATCCATTGTTGCAGCCAATGTGTCACTCCTCCTCTCCCGCCTCGAGAGTCTTCCTCTTTGTGGTGCTGACCCTCTACACCAAGAATGAAGTCCTTGTCCAGGGACTGGTGCCCCCAAATACCACGTCCACAGTATATGAGATGAAGTCTTGCCACCCTGACTTCCAAAGAACATTCTGGTTGTTCTTGTCCCAAGACAGATTTGTTCTCTCTTTGAATTACCAACACCGTAATTCAAAGGCATCAATCTGTCTACAGTCATCCTTATGGTCCGATTTTTGCATATGAGACCAGGTGTACCTTAGTACCCGAAGTCTTTTGCAGCAGACATGCCCAACGTACTATGTGGTCTGATGTCTTGACTGGCTACTTCTGTGGGTGTGGATAATGGATCCAAGTAAAATGAAATCTTTGACAACTCCACTCTTTCTCCATTTATCATGAAGTTGGCTCAGTGTGAAGAGGACTGTAATCTTTGATCTTCATCAGTTAAGTGCTTCAACTCCTCTTCGTTTTTAGTAAATAAGGATGTTATCATCTGTATATGGCAGATTGCTAATGGGTCTTCCTCCAATCCGGATGCTCCATTCTTCTTCTAAATAACCCAGCTGCTCAGATTTGTTCAGCATACACACAGAGGAAGTACGGTGGAGGGATACACAACCCCGACAAACACCTTGCCTGATTTTGTGTTCAAATGACTGCCTCTTGGTCTATGTACAGGCTCTGCGTGAACACACTGTAATGTTCTGGCATTCCCATTCTTTGCAGAGTTGCCCATAACTTACGATCCACCCAATTGGATAGCATTGCATAACCAATCAACATCTTTCTGGTACGACCCATCTGACATCAGCAACGAAGAACCTCATTCCACATCCTCTTCCACCATGGTGATGGTGTGGTGGTTGTGTAGTGTTTCCGAGGCTGTAAATCTTTACAGGAGCAGAAAGCCTCATCTTTCGCCCACGGAACAGCTGGGAGTTTTGAACCGCTACCCTGAGGTTAGCAGCCTGGCTCATAACCATTTGTGTTCCCATATGAAAATGGCTTAGCTTTCTTATTCTTTACAAACTCTTCTAGACCATCAAAGATGAAAATGAAACACCACCATATATTCTGCAGTGGCTTGGCCTTCCGCAGAAGCAGACGTGCATAATGACTGCCCCCAGTCTCAGAAGACCCTAGAAGGTGTTGTCCTTGGCAGCCTGGGTGAGCTGAGGGATGAGCCAGAGGAAGGGTCGGGAGCAGGATGGGATAACATGCCAGGGAGCTGCAAGTCGATGGGATTCTATTTCAACGTGAATTGCAGAGTCTGGCACTACCTTAAGATTAAAAAAATAAACAGTCACTAATGGAAGCTGCAAGCCGCCTTTTCCTTTGGCAAGTAGGCGTCCTCTGTGGTCTTCCTAGGATGCCCTCTCAGGCCCAGTGGCCTGTTTTCCCTTCCCAGTGTCTCGGGAATTCTGGGATGGGGGTCTTTGTGTGATCTCTTCTGATACATGTGTCACCCCGGCAGGAAGGTGTTCTCGGGTTCAAAACAACATTAAATAGAGTGGATTAAGATTTTTGTCAAATGGTACTTAACACTTTTCTCCGCTGTCCTGAGGAGCTGGGCCCTTTAGTAACGTTCCACGTATGGATGGGCTGAGGACCAAGGGCAGTTGTAGCTTGGAACCATTAGCCAGTTTCATGCTGATGGTGATTCATGGGAGAAGAGGCAGCAATGACTGACAGATCACGCTTGTCCCTGTCGCGTCCAGTGGGAATCTCAGATCTGAGACACACCCCCCACACAGCTTCTCAGCATGCCACGGGGATGGGCTGGGTTCTAGCAAAAATCAATTCAGTAGGCAACCCCAAACTCGAAAGCATGAAGTAAGTTCTCATCTACCAACAACTCCAGCACACTGGAATCCTGGTGTGGCGCTGTGGGGTAATGTGCTGGTGAGGTC